CACAGGACTATAGGAATCAGCCAGGCAAGCCAGATTCCTTCTTGCAGAAAGGTGAGGTGGGTCTGGAGAGGCAAGGCGCTCCCAACTCGTGACGGAGAAACAGACAGGTCAGCGGGGCGGGGCAGACATGGGCATGGAGAAGAGAAGGTCAGGGAGGCACCACTTCCCTGAGGATCCCTCCCTTACATCCGCACACAGCCCCGCAGTGCAGTGACCCCCTGCTGGGCGGGCCACCTGCTATTCCTTAGGACCTTTGGAGCCCAGTGCCACACTACAGGCTGACTTCCTCCAGGCAGGGCTGTGCCTTTCTGCTCGTGAGATAAATAAATTCTGTTATTTCATGAAGGTCCTGAAAGAACAGGTATCCTGCCACCCCTAAAAGAGACCAGGACTGCCGGCGCTGTGGCTCAACTAGGCTAATCCTCCGCCTTGCGGCGCTGGCACACTGGGTTCTAGTCCCAGTCGGGGCACCAGATTCTGTCCCGGTTGCCCCTCTTCCAGTCCAGCTCTCTGCTGTGGCCTGGGAGGGCAGTGGAGGATGGCCCAGGTCCTTGGGCCCTGCACCCATATGGGAGACCAGGAGAGGCACCTGGCTCCTGGCTTCGGATCAGCGCGGTGCACTGGCCGTAGCAGCCATTGGGGGGTGAACCAACAGAAAAGGAAGACCTTTTTCTCTGTCTCTCTCACTGTCCACTCTGCCTGTCAAGAAAAAAAAAAAAGAGAGAGAGAGAGAGAGAGAGACCAGGACTTCCGAGGCCGTGATTCCTGGACCACCAGAATGCTACATAGCACTCCTCTCTGCACAGGCCCTCCTGATTCTCCTGCATGTCAGACTGTCACAACCACTGAACACCCTCTGTTAAACCACAATAAAACCCAAAACCTGCATGTTGACAGGAGCCATGACGGCATCTTTTACACCGGACCCACCGCAGCACCTATCAGAAGTTCTCAGTGCATATATAGTGACTGGTGAAGATTAAATATTTAAAGGATGGAGAGTCTGGGACTCCCGTGCCCAGACTCAGAGGGAAGAGCTGAGGGCAGAGAGCCAGGCACTTAGCGTCACCAAGCTTCATCCCCTCTCAGGGAAGGGAGGGGCTGACTGTCCCAGAGACTTTCAGTAGTCTGCCAGCACCGCAGGCTTAGATTTTCTCAAGGGAGATATAAATGGGCTCTCAGAGCCTCCTGAGATCCTGCCCATCTCAGTTCTTGCTCCCCTTGGTTGGGAGCCTGCAGCAACACCTCTTCCATCTTTTTCCTGTGCTTTAAGAATAGGAAGCCCACCAGGCAGGCAGTGCGGTCTTCCTGCCTCAGCTCCTCCCCCCAGATTACCCACGACTGCTTACATCTCTTTCCTTCCAGGCAGGCACAAGAAGAGCCCTTCTGCAGTCAAGGGCTCATCCTTCTGGCACTTTCTGGATGGTGCTTATTTCTCTCCCGGGCCCTTCCTACCCTCTTCCCCTCCCCCCTCAAACACATTTCCTCAGCTGCTACATTAATCAGCATCTCTTACCTATGTACTTTTTTTAAGTTTAAATATGTATTTATGTTCACTTTGTTTGAAAAGCAGAGAGACCTGGACAAATAGATCTTCCATCCACTGGTTCACCCCATTGAAACAGTTACCCTAAACTTACCCATCTCTGGGTTAACAAGTCTTAAAAGACAATTTCCTTATTGTGTTCACTATCCTACAGCACTTGGCCATCATGAAACCCTTCTCTTCCAGTAATTTCTGGGCCAACACTCTCTGCATTGCCTCCTGTCCCTGTGGCCATTCCTCTCAGTCTCCTGTCAATGTTCTCTTCCTACTGCTCCCTTTGAGCTTCTTCCCCAAATATTTCCCATTCCACAAGCACTTCTCAACTATCTTCCCCATTGCAATGACTTCAGCTGGATAATAATCTCTCCATCAAAGATCTTGCTCTTATTTGTAGATGATACATCCACTTGCACATTGGACAGATTTCCCCTACATGTCAGAGAGGCAACTCCAACACAGCACGCCCATCATGGAGCTGCAGATGATATGCCCTGTGCCTATGCTTGTTCAGGAACCAGAGTATCACCCTTGAGTCTTCTCTTCCTCGCCTCCACATCCAATCAGTCCGTGAGTACTGCTGATTCAATTCCCTAAATATTTTTCAGTTCATTCCTTTCTTCTCTACTCCCCTATAGACATCACCTCACATAGGGGATCACCATTTCATAACTGGATTATTGGCATGTGTCCTTAGAGAGTCTCTCTACCTCTGGTCCAGCCTCACTCTCCCCTATCACCTTCTCCATTTATTTTCCAGGTTGATCTAATGAAAAGTAACTGTGCTGGAGCCCGGAGTGGGTTAAGCCGCTGCCTGTGACTCATCTGTGTTCCAGCCCCAGCTGCTCCTGTTCCCAACCATCTCGCTGCTGATAGCCTGGGAAAGCAGTAGAAGATGGCCAGCCATTGTGGCCATCTGGAGAGTGAATCAGCAGATGGAAGATCTCTGTCTCTCCCTCTCACTCTGTAACTCTGACTTTCAAATAAATAAATAAATAAATCTTTAAGAAAAGTAACTGTACTCATTTCACTTCTCTGTACAAAATGTTTCAATATCCACCCCCAACATTCAGGACGAAATGGAGACTCCTGTTCCGCTTGGCTCTGCCTGTCTGTGCAGCCTTCTTTGGTTTCATCTTCAGAGATGCACCCCACCGCACTCTTTCCTACGTTTCTCACCACATACTGCTGCTTCTGCTTACAAAACCATCCTTCCCTTCATCTCAATGGCCTTGAGACTTGAGCAGGCTTGGGTTCAAATTCCAGTTCCAGTAGTTGTGTCTTTCCATTCATTCCACAAGGATTTAATGGCACTGGGCAAGGTGCTGGGAATAGAAACCTGGAAAGAAATAGCTGCTGCCTAAGGAAGCTCCGGTGCCACAGAGGGGAGGGTAAGAACTGGGAACATCAAAATTCAGTGGTAGATCTCCTAACAGAAGGAAACAGAGCTATCCGTAACAATGCAGGAAGTCTCCTGTTGCAAATAACTTCTGAATGCAGTCTTGAAGGACAGTCACCACCACATGACACCCAGAGGAATGGTGTGTGTGTGTGTGTGTGTTGCTGGTGCAGGAAGGCGATGGGGGTAGGGTAGTCGAAGGATGACTGTTGCTCTATGGATGTTCTGAGCTGAGTTTGACATAACTCTGGGATATGCAAGCAGAGATAGAGCTGTAGAGATGAGAGGAAGGGTGTTCAAATGGTGGGCACCTGGTACACAGGTGGAAGCTGAAACCCCTGCACTATACACACACCCTGTCAATGAGAGCACAGCCTTATCCCTAACTGATGAGGTGTCTGAGCGAACTACAGGCCAAGATGAAAATACCCTTTTTTCAGTTCTCTAAGCTACTAGCTATTCAGTGAACAGAACCTATCTGAAGTGAGTTTGCTAAGTACTCAAGGAAATTTGAGAATACATTTGGCATGATATTTACCCTGAAGTTATTTGGAATTCACTTGGAAAACAATGGATTTTTCCATTAGCCAATGGGAAATGAGATGGTCTGCAATTTTACTCTTCAAGGAGGCTGCGCCCCTCAGGCACTAGCCATACTTGGGAAGCTTGGAAAAGACAGGTGGCCAGAAGAGAGTCCTAAGGGATGAATGGGCCTTCAGCAGGAGGGGGCACAACAGAACCATGATAGGCCCCAGAGACCATGAGAACACTACATCACACTATGCAGTGAGCTTTCTCTCGGTGTCTAGGGAAAGTTAGTTTGCAGAAATCAGAATATTGCAAAGAGGGCTCAGAAAGGAGCCTGGATAGACAGAAGCAGAGGATGCCTGTTTGTTTCCAGGGTAAGAATTCAACAAGTGGCATCAAAGTGTTCTAATACACAATAACCATGGACTTAAAACTAAACTCCCTGCAGATTGAAAGAAAGGCATATGCTTGAATATTTATTTCCTTTAAGCCAGCTTCGGCTTTCCTAACACAAAATCTAAGTATGTGGTGAATAAAACCTTAAGGCATCTAAACCACGAGCCTTTAGTAGTTGTTACTTGAATGCTCATTCAGCTAAGGAAAGCATCCTTCCCAAGGACAGATTCTCGTAAGGTCCTGGCAACTAGATTTTCTCCACCCTTCTATTTGCCTCTCTGTTTCCTCAGCCAAGAAAAGGACACCACTACACTTGCAGTCTTCTCAAGAGTGTTCTGCTGCTCAAGAACAAAATTCCCTCCAGAATAATCTAAAACGGATTTAAAACAACACAAAAATATGGATAAAAGTTCAAGGTCCTTAGGGTCTGTGATAAACAATAATGGAATAAACAAGGGGAAAAATAGACGTGTGGCTGCTCAACTGGACAGGTCTGCCAATGACCATAAAGAGACACCCTTCTGAAACTCACTACCGTATCCCCTCCTAACACCGGGGGAGGCTGTAGCGATACCCTAAGCATTCTAAGTTAACCAACCCCAGAGGCAAGTTGACTCAGAGGCAAATGGCATTCAGCCAGCACCGCCTGGGCACTTCCCACACGCCAGGCTCAGTCCCAGGACTGGGACACACTGGGACGAAACCGAGCTCTGCCCTCTGGGGGCTTTCACTCCACGTTCAGCTCTGTTTCCAGGCAATGCAAATTACACGAGACTTCAGCTTCAAAGTGCTCCCTCCAGAGTGTAGAGGGGGATCATTCCACCAACCTAACATTACTGTGCTGCTTCTATTCGGGATTCAAAATGAATGCAATAAAAATCCACCTTTCCTTGAAGAGCTACTTAGAAAGGAACACAAAAGTCTTTCCTTATAAATAATCAAGTCATGAAATGCAGATTCCAAGAATTGCATCACGAGGACTCACTGAGTTTATCTCCTTTGAGAAACTCCTCAGAGGGCACATGTGACAATGCATCACGCATTAAGAATCCCAAATGCACTGTGCACTACTTTTTAGTGAATCAGCCGACTAACTCTTCCTTGTGAACAGATTCCCCAGGGGACATCAATTACCTGCTCATAGGCCCAGAACTTCACGGCTGTCTCAGGAGCAATCTTAATGACATTTGTCCCATTTCCTCTCCACAGGGAGCGGACACCTCCTTCCTTTATCATCTGTCGAAAGCCGCCAAATATGTTCATTGATTTTGAGCCATGCACCTAAAAACAAGAACAAAATGATATAGAAACACTTGGGACATACTACTGTCACTGTTCCTAATGTGACCATAAATCAATTTCGAATACTGTTTACGACACCAAGGAAATGTATTTGAAAATGAAATACAGAAGGTTGAGAAACACATAATGATGGGAGGGACTATCACCACCATTTTAGATGCCTGGCTCTGAATCTAAATCCAGAATAACTACTGTCCACAGTGTGGGAAAGCAAAGACATGATTAAAATTTAAATTAATATGAACAATGACATTCATACGAAAATGTGGACTATGGCTATGAAATTCCTTGGAAATGTAAGCAAACATTTTAAGAGAGACTTCAAACAAAAGTATATTGCAGGTGATGTATTTCGTCCCCACTCTCCCACTCCCCCCACCCCCATTGTACAGACCTAACTACACAATGAGCCTGAAAATGATTTAGATACTATGTACGTCAGAGTCCAGACACAGTGTGCACAGCCTGAAGCCAGACTCAAACACCGTACCTTCCGTGACATGTCTAGATAGGATACTAACTGCCCAACCCAGTGAGGACTCATGAATTACTTAATGTCTGCCACAGAGGTGGTGATCATTCACATCTACTGGCCCTTAGGACTGATAGTAGATTAAAAACCAATGAAAGAAGCCACAAATAATTCAAGAAATCACCCAGCCTTCTGTTTCAGCATGCACAAAATGAATGACTACCATGTAAAAATAAACAAACCAGCAAAACAAGCTGGAAGGCGTTAAAGACTAAACCCCCTCATGACCATGCTAAATCCCTTGTGGCCAACACGTGATTGAGCCCCAACGGGGTCTGCAGAAGTCTGCACACACCACGCCATGGCAATGCCGGGAAAGTTGTTTGTGGAGACCCCACAGGGCAGGCAGCAGAAGCCATGCGTTGCCAGTTCCCCAAACTCAGCGCAGTGCACTTCACTACTTGGCTGACTCTAATCGGTATCTTTTCCCTGTAATGAACCCTGACCACGAGTATAACAGCTTTCCATGAGTTCAGTGAGTCTTCGTGGTGTCTCAAACCTACAGGTGGGTTTGGGAACCCCCACTCTTACAGAAACTAGAATCCAGCAAAAATCATTTTATTTTAAATAAACCAATTTCACAGTAAAATATGAGAAAGGAAAGGAGGCTTACTCAAGTTCTCTCAGACACTCCACTATTTTTCCTAAAGAAAAACACGTACACCAACTCCCTCCCCTCTTTTCTTGAAAGCACTATCTTTGCCCCTAAATAAATGAGAGTATTTAGATGCATTTTTGAATGGGTGAGAGCTTAAAATATTGCCAGAAATATTTTTGTACAGAAACTTAAGTTCAAGCATTAAGTAATGCTGCCCATAGGCATAACAAACACAACTCTTAAAAGTATTTTTTAATCAACTGCTGTGTTCCAACAGGTGGTTCTGTGTATCTGGCATTTTCACAGACCTGACTCACAAGCAAATTGTCTAATTCTCATGAGCATCCTTTTTGGAGATTCTCACTCAGAATGAAGGAGAAGGAAGCCTCCATGGTTCCATGTGTGTGAGAACCACGAACTTCACTGGCACAGATACTACATTGCTTGGCCAATCTGCTGCAAGGGAAAAGTTACTTCATTCTCTGGGCCTCAGTTTCCCTACTGATAAAATGAAGATACAGTGTCTGCTTTCCTGGGCTCCTGTGAGGACTGAATGGGTTACCGCAATGAGAACCAAATAATTATTTGGTTATTATCCACTTTGGGCAGCTACAGTCAACCTGTAAATCTAGGTCTTTATCTGCTAACTTCAGCTTCAGAATAATTAAAAAATTTAAAAATTGGGACCAGCGTTGTGGCACTGCAGGTTAGGCCGCCACCTACAATGTCAGCATCCCATATGGGCGCTGGTTTGAGCCCCCTCTGCTTCACTTCCAATCCCGGCCCCTGCTGGATGTGCCTGGGAAAGCAGCGGAAGATGGTCCACAGGCCCCTGCCACCCACGTGGGAGATTCTGATGGAGTTCCAGCTCCTGTCTTCAGCCTGTTCCAGTCCTGGCCATGGCAGCCATTTGGGGAATGAAGCAGTGGATGGAAGATCCCTCTCTCTGTCTCTCTGTGTAACTCTGCTTTTCAAATAAATAAATAAATCTTAAAACAAAATTTTTAATTACACAAGGATGTAATTTTTTATAAATCACAAGATCCCAGATTTCAGAAAAGTCTCATTTTTGATAAAGAACCTAAAAGAGAAATAAAATTGAAATAATTTAAAGAGAACAATACAATAACAAGAGACTCTTATTAAACATTGAATAGTCACACAATGGCAAAGATGAAAAGTTTCTTGCACACACACACCAACAATTTAAGGTCTGGCAGAATACTGCAACACTTCCATGAGCTGAATTTAGAAGTAATGACAATAAAATAGTCATTTTTTTTTTCTTTTAAGATATCAAAGACCATGACTGAGAAATTTTAAAACTTCTTCTTCAAAGTACCACATTTCTCCCTGCTTCGGAATCCCTGGGACAAGCTCAGACACAGACACGGAGCTCACCTGCATCATGACTTTCAGGCGATCCAGGGGGGCAGTGCTGGTTCGTGACACAGCCCCGGCAATCCCTCCGGCCAGAAGCTGCCTCCACCACTGCCCGGACTTTCTCTCCTCTTCTGTGAATTCATCCGGAATAGTTAAACTATCTCCTATGTCGATTCCCTATTAAAGTGGGGGGAAAAAAAAAGATGCAGTGCACCTTCAATTAAAAACTGATACTCATAGAAGTTTTTAATTCCAGAGAAGAACACATATTGTATGGTTGAGATCAACTTTACTCCTTGGGATTTATGCCAACCAGCTTCAGCAGATAGAAGACTATGAGACGTCTACTCAATGCTAAACAAAACGTAGTATCAGCTCACGAGAGGAAATTCCACAGCAACTGCACATGTACAAAACTAACAGTAACAACTACAGCTTCCTTCATAGATGCAGAGTAACTTTTCTCCTCTTTGTCAAGGTCAGAATGAGAGGCCAGCATTTGACCAGGCATAGTGAACCCTTTTTTGTTAGCACTTTTCATAATGCCAGAAAGCCACAGCTAACTGGTGAGGGCATCTTTAAAGGAATTAGCTTGTCATTTCTTCAGAGATATTCTCTTTATCTAAAAAGTATATTCCTCATACCATGATACACATTTTAAATATGTAGATAAAACTAAAAATACTATAAATGTGAATTTCCCTAAACTCATTTCCTATGTTGACTCTAAATATTTTCTAATGAATCTGACTTGTCACTTAAAGCATGCAATGGATTCCACAAAAAATTTAGCTAACAGGAAGGTACTGTTGGAGGGGATGCGCCATGGCTCACTTGGTTAATCTTCCGCCTGCAGCTCCAGCATCCCATATGGGTGCCAGCTCTCTGCTGTGGCCTGGGAAGGCAATGGAGGATGGCCCAAGTGCTTGGGCTCCTGCACCTGCATGGGAGACCAGGAAGAAGCACCTGGCTCCTGGCTTCAGATCAGCGCAGCGTGCCAGCTGTAGTGGCCATTTGGGGGGTGAACCAACAGAAGGAAGACCTTTCTCTGTCTCTCTCTCTCTCTCTCACTGTCTAACTCTGTCAAATTAAAAAAAAAAAAAAGGAGAAAGTACTGTTGGAAAGCATCACTCCACCAATCTATTCTGAACATGACTATGGCTGGAGAGGAACAAAGAGCCTCAATGATAATGGTTTTCTAACATTTTTACCTAAATGATTTTAGCATAAAAGGTTTTATAGGCAAGAGTGTACAGGTAAGGAGTTATGCTCTGGTAGCTCCCCTCTCACCCTTCATTTCGTTATTAATAAAATGGACATGGTAGCCTCAACTGTTATCAACTGCCTCCAAAGATACAATAAAAATCATGTAAATAAAACTTCACGTTTTTCCAGGCAACTGGAATACAAATACAAGATAATTTATACTCATGATTGAAAAGGCATTCAAATCAGCGATTATTAGTAATCCATGGAAGCTGGCGGGCATGGTTACCAGTAGCAATATGAACCCCTGGCTTCATTTAGTGCATAGTAAATTTACAGAAATCCCTGAATGTGTGGAGAAGAGAGGCTCACTAAGAAAATACCATCCCTATGGAAAGTTCCCAGCGCTTTCCCGGGGCAGACTGCACAGTCACGGTACTTTATTTTCACCAGTGCATTTTGGAAGAGTATTAATGAGACAATCCAACTTGGATATTCTGTGCAATACAAACCGGTGTGAAGAGCTGGGCAGCATAATCAAAAAGATTCAGTAAATGATTATTATAAATGCTTCATGCCCGAGACTGCCAGGCAGTCTCACTAAACAAGCTAAAGTTTCAGAAGGGAACTTTGGTCCTATCATCAACGGCCAAGGAAATAAACCCGCAGCAATCAGGAGACGTGGAGATAATTCAGACAACACAGGACCAATAAAAGTAAAAAGCCGAACGCTGAAATGCCAACAAAAGCCAGGCGGCCCATTGATCTGGGCGCTATTTCTTCCAAGTTTTGAGAACAGCTGTGTTTTATGCAGTCTGGGGGTTAAGATACTCTAAATCTACAACCCACAGAATGATCAGAATGCTACAAGGAGCTACCCACACCTAGGCACCCTGCCCCTCAAGCGTTGGAGGGTCTGGGGGTGAAATCTGTACCCATGGCTTCCAGCTCCAAGTGAGTTCACCTATCAGGACACAGACATGAAGTGTGCTTACAGTAGAGTGTTTCCAGAACCGGATGATTTCCTCAATGTCTGCGACAGGGTTGAATAAGAAGTAGTCTCTCCATTCATTCCAATCCACCGTCATTGTCCCGTCAGCATCAATGCTGAAAAATTTTAAACACGATTAAAGAACAAAACAAAGTTGGTGAATGAAATATCACCGTTGACCATTGTGCAGAATGGTGGTTACTCTTCCAGCTTAATATTCTTATTAAATGTTAAATCCCACTTATAGGTAAAGGTTGTTGGAAATGGCAGAAAGCATTTTACTGTCTTGCCAGGTAATTCATCTAGGTAAACATGGATCCAGAGATTACAAAGAGAGAGCTCACCAAAGAGTGCTCTCAACACTCTGGCAAGCCCTAATCAATTAGCTATCAAACATAAAAACTGGAAGGTAAAAACCGTGAGGTATGGGGCAGCGCTGTGGCCTAGTAAGCTAAGCCTCCATCTGTGGTGCCAGCTTCCTATATGGGCACCGGTTTTAGTCCCAGCTGCTCCTCTTCTGATCCAGCTCTCTGCTATGGCCTGGGATAGCGGTGGAAGATGGCCCAAGTGCTTGGGCCCCTACACATGTGGAAGACTCAGAAGAAGCTGTTGGCTCCAGGCTTCAGATATACCCAGTTCCAGCCATTGCAGCCATCTGAGGAGTGAACCAGTAGATGGAAGACCTTTCTCTCTGCATGAGAAACCAGGTGCACCAGCACCATATTTGGCAGTCTCTCCTCTTCCTAGTTATCTGCAGAGCTACTCCTCCCCTGTCCCAAATCTAAAATCCCAATGGGTCCATCTCTGGCTCTGCATTATGTGTCACTTATCTACTTGTCTATTTGTGTAGCAATTCCACGGTCTTAATTACAGTTTTATGACAACTCTTGATATCCAACAGGACAGGCCCTAAACTGCTAATGTTTCTTGAAAAATGCCATGGTTATTTTGGGGTCTAACATAGGTATATATTTTGAGATCCAGTTTGATCTCAAAAAAAAAAAAAAAAAACTACATAGGTTTTTTTCCAGTAGCAATGAATTTCTATTGTGCATTTGAACAGAAGGCATATCTCTTCTGTACTGCATCTTCTTTACTATCTTTTAATTTAATATTATAAGTTGCTCTGATAAATGTATTGATCATGGCGCACTGTTTTTACATACAGCTGATTTAGTTCACTAATATGTTCCCTAAAGTTTTACACTTAAGTCATAAATTATATTGACCTCTCATTTCCTGCTTTCCTTACTTATTCACCATACACAAAAGATAGGACAGTGTACTTCTATTGTGGAAATGTTTGTAGATCTGCCCTTCAACAGTTAGCAAGAACCATCTGGGGCTGAAGTTTCCTTTATAGGAAAAATTTTAATGCCTGATACAATCTCTTTAATTGTTTAGGCACAGTGGACTATTTCTTCTTTGTTCTGTTTTGATAAGTTACATGTGTTTTTTAAAAAATCATCTATTGCATATTTTCCATTTTTGATGAAATTATAATATTTCATCTTGTTAAGATTTCTAATGAACCTATTTGCAATTGAACATAATTTATTCACATCCCATTTATCTTCAGCAATCACTTCAGAAATTGGTCTTTCCAGCAACTAGCTTTTGGCTTTGCTTATCTTGTCACTACATATTTGCTGTACAGTTCTATTTTCTTTATTATAAACTTCCTTCCTCTACCTTCTTCAAAATTATTGTGGGGCTGGCACTGTGGCATAGTGGGTAAAGCCCCCACTTGCAGTGCCAGCATCCCATATGGGTGATGGCTCGAGTCCCAGCTGCTCCACTTCCAATCCTGCTCTCTGCTATGGCCTGGGAAAGCAGTAGGAGATGGCCCAAATCCTTGGGCCCCTGCACTCACATGGGAGACCCGGAAGAAGCTCCTGGCTCCTGGCTTCAGATCAAGGCAGCTCTGGCCATTGTGGCCATTTGAGGAATGAACCAGCAGGCGGAAGACCTTTCTTCTCTCTCTCTCTCTTTCTCTCTCTCTCTCTCTCTCTCTCTTTTTTTCTCCTTTTCTCTCTGCTTCTGCCTCTCTGTAACTCTACCTTTCAAATAAATAAATAAATATTTTAAAAAATACATTATGGACTCTCTTCCCTAACTTAGCACACTAATTTTCATCTTTAATTATTCTTTAATAAAACCACTGGGACTATAACATTTGCCTAAATATCATCTTAGAAATATACCATTTGTGGGGCCAGCACTGTGGTGCAGTGGGTTAAAGCCCTGGCCTGAAGCGCCAGCATCCCATATGGGTGCCAGTTCTAGTCCTGGCTGCTCCTCTTCCAATCCAGCTCTCTGCTATGGCCTGGGATAGCAGTAGAATATGGCCCAAGTCCTTGGGCCCTTGCACCCACTTGGGAGTCCTGGAAGAAGCTCTTGGCTCCTGGCTTTGGCTGGTGCAGCCAACTGGGGAGTTAACCAGCGGATGGAAGACCTCTCCCTCTGTTTCTACCTCTCTCTGTCATTCTTTCAAATAAATAAAATAAATCTTAAAAAAAAAAAAAGAAATATACCACTTGTTTTAAAATTTTCAAGTTTTTAAGTCAAACTACCTGTGAATGTCCACTTATGATTTCCTCTTAGAACCATAAGTTACTGAGAAGTATCATTTTTGGAAATATTGGCAGTTTGTATAACTCATTTCCATTGTTGACTTCTAATTTAACACATAATGGTCAGAGAAGATAGTCTTTGTGATACCAATTATTTATAATACATTGAGTATGGTCTTATGGCCTACTGTGAAATCAATTGTTAAACATGTTCCATCTGTACCTGAGAAAAAAATATTTGTACCTTTTCTAATTTTTTGGTATAATATTCTGTTATATGTTCATCAAACTAAGCTTATTTATTTAAATCTTTTTGCCTTCATTGTTTTTTCTCTGCTTGACCAACCAAATACAAGAAGAAATGTGTTAATATTTCACTATATCGACATATATATGTATTGATATAGATATATTAATTCATCCCCATAATTCTATCAACCAGATCAATTTTTTTCTATATTTATGGTGACAATTATTTTCATTTTCAATTATTTAAAATGTGGTGACATTATTTTCATTAATGCTTTTAGCCTTATATTTTCCTGATATTAATACAGCCACTCCAGCTTTCTTTTGGTTAGTTTTGCTTTCTTTCATCTGACAGTCTTGCTCTTCCAATAAAATTTACCTTGGTTTTGATTTTATCATGCATTAAAATCCACTGTAGGGGGCAGCATTGTGACATAGCAGGTAAAGCCATCACCTGCGATACCATGTGGTTGCTGATTTGTGTTCCAGTAGCTCCGCTTCCTATTGAGCTCCCTGCTAACATCCTGGGAAAACCAGAAGAAGATGATCCAAGTGCTTGGCCTCATGTCACCCACATGGGAGAACCAAATGAAGCTTCTGGCTCCTGGCCTTGGCTTAGCCCAGCACTGGCTCTTGGAGCCATCTGGGGAGTGAACCAGTGGACGGAAGATCTCTCTCTGTGTTTCTCGCTCTCCTTCTTTTTCTGTAACTCTTTCAAAATAAATCTTTTTTAAAAAATCTACTGCAATTTAAATGGCATCATAAAAAATTTAATATGGCTTTCATCCCTATGGAGGATAATGTTTTCAATTTTTTATATTATCATAAAAGTTTCAGTATGAAGATAACGTAATTCAGATGTACCCACACCAAACTGAGAAAGTCCTGACTGACCAGAGATGATTCCCTTTTAACTTACTCTTCACCCATTCCCAGACCCCTGGGAAAGAAGATAAAAACTTTATTTAGACTATATTATTTGACAGTAAGGAATGAAAAAAACAGTATTGGGCATATTTTGGTGGGGTTTGAACTTATTTCTACCATCTCCCCTTTCGCTTCTCCATTCCCCTCTTTCTTCGATTGTCTGATTTTATACTTTGCTTTTCCACTTCTTATCTCACTACTTTGAAAGTTATACACTCAACTCATACTTTTAGTGGTTTCCCTTGAAATTTCACCATGTATACATAACTAAATCTAAAAGTGCTGTTTGACACAGCTCTTCTGAGTCAGATAATAATCTTTGCCGTTGGTTCACCCTCCAATGGCTGCCGCGGCCGGCGCGCTGTGGCCAGCGCACTGCACTGATCCGATGGCAGGAGCCAGGTGCTTCTCCTGGTCTCCCATGGGGTGCAGGGCCCAAGCACTTGGGCCATCCTCCACTGCATTCCCTGGCCACAGCAGAGAGCTGGACTGGAAGAGGAGCAACTGGGACAGAATCCGGTGCCCAGACCGGGACTAGAACCTGGTGTGCTGGTGCTGCAAGGCGGAGGATTAGCTTAGTGAGCCGCGGCGCCGGCCAGATAATAATCTTAGACCTAGTATAAACTACTATTGTTCAGTTTACTAACTGACTATGATTATATTCATGGCTGGTTCTAATGGAGCACTCGACCAGCCCAGAGACCACCAGCAGAGAGACAGCCCACCATGGTCAGGAAAGCACCTCCAGAAACACTGCTCAGCCCATTCTCCAAACCCAGTGTGGACACGCACACCTGCCTGTCTGCCTTTTCCTCTACCCAGAATGTCTTTCCACCCAACTTTACACCAGGGTAACCTCTATTTATCCTTCAGTATTTTCTGAAGGTCTGCTATCACAAAGAAAGTGTTAGTATTGTGTTCGTTTTATTTGTTTATTTATTAAAAGTGGGGGTGGGGGGGAGAGAGAGAGAGAGAGAGATCTTCCATCTACTGTTTCACTCCCCCAAGTATCCACAACAGCTAGGACTGTGCCAGACTGAAGCCAACAATCAAGAACCTAATCCACATGTCCCATGTTGGTGGCAGAGACCCAAGTACTTAAGCCATCGCCTGCAACCTCCCAGAGTACACATTAGCAGGAAGTTGCAATCAAAAGTAGAGCTGGGAGTAGAATACCGGCATTCTGATATGGGATGCCCAGTGTCTTAATCACTGAGCCAAATCAGATAACGTGTCCTGTACCCTCAAAATTTACGAGGCAGTGTGAAAGACAGATACTACACAATAACAAGCATTAGCTAACATTCATTGAGCATCTTCTAGATATTGTTCCAAGAACTGCAAAGTTAACTGACTTTATCCTTATA